CTCTCTCTCAAATAAATAAAATCTTTTTTTTAAACACTTAATACAGTATTTTGCACAATGACATTCATTCAACAAGTACCTACTTAGTACATATTAAATAAATACCAGGCTCTGAATAAGCAATACCAATGTATTAGCGTTTGGGGAGCTTTTTATATTTGGGTCATTGCAACATGAGTAACAGAGTTAAACAGGGTTTCCACTGTGGCCTCAAATCCTAATTCAAATAGTCTTATGAATTAAATAATAGAAGAGTAATTACAAATTTTGGCCTGCCTAACTCAGTTCAACGCACACCAAACACCAAACACCAATGCGGCATCAAACACCCAAATAAGGCTCAAATAAATACGTGAGATGCTCTTATAGAACTTCCATTAGGCTGCGGGAAGTAGTCAAGGGGTAGCCACACTGCACAGCAAACTGCGGTAAAACTAGGGAAGCATTAGACACACAAAACAATTCTAAGGAAATGAATAACAGAGTTCCCTGGAGGAAGTATTTGCAGAACTGAAGGCTTAAAAGGATTATAGGTCATTCTGGAGAAGACCCAGAGCAAAAGTAAGTGAAAGCAGTTCCAAAGATGTGTCTGTGTGCATTCGGGTTGGGGGGCGGGGAATAAACAGTCTGGGACCACATTTGGGGGTCAAGGGGATGTGCACTGTGTGCTGAAACATTTGACCAGCAGTCTGGGTGCTGGAGAGTGGCCCAAGGTTTCCAGAAAGGAGAGTGACACAGTCAGAACTACAGCTAAGGAAGCCCACTCTGATGGCAGTGCGAAGAAGCAGAATGAGAAGCTATTTTCTTCGTCCAGGGAAAAAGTCACAGCAAGAAGGAGAGGGAACGGCCCCCACTGTCATGGACATAGACGCTGGCAGAAGAGTTTACTTTTTCCCCTCTTCCAGTGACTTCCTGCTCTCTCCAGACCCGTCCTTTCCGAGCAAACACGAGAACCTGGTTTTTAACACAGATCAGAACAACTTTCTCAACCTACTACAGTTTTGAGATGAGTTTTTAACCATGACTTGCCACGTCAGCCTGGCAAAGCTTACTCTCAAGTTCTAATTCATCTTCACTTATAAAACAAACTTAAAAAATGTGATCTACAGAGCTGCAATCACTATTTTTGCCTTGCACAACCAAAATAATTTAGTCTGAGACAATACTTGTACTTAGGGCAGCCACAACATTGAGACAAATTAGAGCCCTCAAGAGAAGCTGAACAGGGAGTTGTTTTTTCTTATAAAGGAGGGATGGGGGAGGGGGAGAACAATCAAGATCTACAGGGCTGGGCCCAGGGTACAAAGCAATCTGCATTTCCATTTCCCTTTGGATCAAGTACTTCTGAAATCATTCCACAGCCATTTCCAAGCAGCCCCTTTCCAAAGTGAAGGTTGTAAACATATGTCCCTCCCTGCCCCTTGGCACCTTAGTCTTATTTTTCCTTATTAATCAATTCTTCCTCAACAAGGCAACAGCAGGGAACGAACAGCACCAGTCTAGAAAACTAGAAACTGGCTCCGCCACTAAATATATGACCTGGATACATTATTTTTCTCATCTATAAGTGATGAGCCTAAGTGTTGGACTCCAGAGACTCTGAGGTGCCTTCTAGGTTTAAAATTGTCATTTTTGATGATGTTCTTAGATCCTTTGGTTTCTTCCAAATTCTCTTTTAACAGGCGCATAATAAAAACCCAGGGAGCAGAGGATCAATCTTGCTTCCAGATCCTCTTGCCCTACTATGCTCAGACTTCCAAAGGAGGTCCAGCCTGTTGATGCTGATCATCCTCTAAAAAAAAAAAACAACTTTGAATGTTTGAATTCCTTGCAGTTAAGGCACTAAGGACTGGAATAAGAGAACCAAGATAGAATTGCAGCAAATGGACTACCATATGGAATTACAGAAGTCCAATGCTCCTTTGGACCTTTTTTAATAACAACAACAACAAAAAGATTAAAATAATCTTAAACAGGGCGCCTGGGTGGCTCAGTTGGTTGGGCGACTGCCTTCGGCTCAGGTCATGGTCCCGGCGTCCTGGGATCGAGTCCCACATCGGGCTCCCGGCTCGGCGGGGAGCCTGCTTCTCCCTCTGACCCTCTCCCCTCTCATGCTGTTTCTCTCTCTCTCTCTC